CATATAAAAATGTAAGTTGACCTGGATAGTAGAACAACTTAAAAAGGCAGCGAAATCGTGTGCGAGATTCAACTGTGATAATCGTGTATTTCGGAGTAGTCTAAACGGGTGTAAATGTCGCAATAATGTGTCCGAACAATCTGGTATCTTCTCAGCAGCATAATTTTAAATATTGATACCATACAACGTATAGTTGTAAACGATTTGATAAGTTGCAAAATTATAATCCCACCTGAGCTTTATTATTTTAACAGTAAATCTTTCACAATCATGTCTCGCCGAAGAAACAAGTTTTCGGAAGGTTTGCAGAAAGAGTTTCCGCCATTCAAAACTACCAACAGTGAATCCGAAGTGCTAAGGGAATTTACGTATTCTCGGCAACCTTAGCAGCGACCATCTTTCTATAGCCTTTTTCTCTAAGGAACGCACACATATGCAGTATTGGTTTGTTTACAATCTTTTGCTGCTCTAAGAATTTCAGTCGAAAGAATTGTCAAAAACTGTTTTGAAACGCTTTTACAAAGCTCTAATCTTCTCTAGTGAGAGCGACTATTGTGGGCAATATCTTTTTATTCGGCAACCTTTCTATTTGAGCTGCGTGTTAAACAGCTACACAGCAAAAAAAAATGTAATATCGATCAACGTAATTCAAGCTGATGTATGAAATAATGATGTAATAGCAAAAAGCAGCTAAAATATTACATCAATGGATGTAATTTTACACAACCGATGGATTGACCTGGTTGCAGCAGTTTCGATGTAATATTCAACAACTTTTTTTGCTGTGTATGCTTTCATCGGCAACTCGAAATCAGCAGCATTTTGTAGTGCGTCTGTTTCATTTAAAAAAAACCCTGCTAGATTGCTTTTTCTTAGCGATAAAAATATAATCAAATTGAAGCTGAAAGCCTAAAGAATCATTTGAATGCATTAATCGAAGTGTTTTCGTAAGAAAATCCAGTGAAATTAACGTTTCAAACTATGTGAAATTTGTCAGAAAACAATTTCTGTCGAGAATAAGGGAAGAGCTGCATTTGGGATCGCAGAAACACCAGGTTTGTGTGAGAGCGGCTGCATCGTCTCAAAAGCTGAACGAGCTTTTTGTAGTTCAAAAATCACCCCTGGAGTTGAAGGTATTAGCAACCGGTGAAAACTAACGATTTTAACTTGGCTCACTACTTGGCTTGCCTATTAGCACAGAGGTAACTCTAAGACTAGAAGCATAGAGGTAACTCTAAGACCAGAAGGTCCAGAAGAAACGAGCTCAACTTTTTGGCTCAGCTATGGTACTATCTTCGGTCCCAAGCTAATCGATTCACCCCTCGAAACATAGGAAAATGCACTAACCCCTCATTTTATCTGTCAAACTTTCATAGCGAATCAAAACAAACATAGTGTAGTACTGGAATTTATACTAGAATGGAGTACGTTGTTTTGATTTTCTATGCAAGTTTGACAGATAAAATGAGGGGTTCGTGGATTTCCTATGTTTCGAGGGGTGAATCGATTAGCTTGGGACCGAAAAGAGTACCAGAGCTGCACCAAAAAGGTGAGCACGTTTCTTCATTCACATGTTGACTGAATGTGGTGCCAACACGTTGTTGACGCTCGCTTCAGTTTTGGTCCTTGCACAAGCAAACTTCACTGCTGTTGCTCACGGGATCGTATTGGGATTGGGTTTTTGTTTTGGTCAGGAGTTGGGGATACTAGGTTGGTGTTTTGCACCCGTGAGGGTCTTTTGGTTCCCGTTGCGAGAATCGTTTAGGGTTACGATTCAAACGGTTGCCAAGCCGATGCGAAGGTAATCGGCTCACGTGTGCTAAGATGGGGAGGTTTTGTGAGCAGAGTTTTCCTTCTTCAAGGATTCGTGAAGATCCACGTTAACCAGATCTCTTCAATCCAGACTGTTGGCTAGTGGCCACAATCTGTAATTGATTCCAATTGGTTGGGTTTAACCTAAAGAGAGTCCGGTATCACTTGCCAAATTTAGTTGGTGGCGAGTAAGGGGCTTCCGGATACAATCTTTCGGCTGGATTGCCAACCAATTCAGACTCAAGACCTGATATAACTTACCGATTGGGTTTCGAATGAGTGAGCTGCATCAACGAATAGTCAAATAACACACACTGATTTTATTTCTTAAAAAGTTCCGCTTATCCGGCCCCGGCCCTAGAATTTGGGCGTTGGTACATCGTGCGCATGTGCGCTTTGCTGCTATGCAAGGGTCTAATTCACCTACGCTCAAGTCCCTACGTACAAGTCCTATGGCCTTCAATGCATCGCCTAAGTGACAATATGGTTTTATTTACGTCCCGAATTTTATTACCTTTCTTCTATTTTCGGGAGTCGGGCGATGCGTATGATCATCCCGCGCTACAATTCTTAAACAATTTACTTCTTAAAGTAGACGCGGGCCTTACCTCTTGCAGGTAATTTACTGAACCTTCCCTAACATCTTCTAGCTGGTTCTATAAATGCGCCCTTGCTTATTTAAGTATTGTTCTTCTAATACTCGATCGTACCACCGCGTATCGAATCTTTTACGACCTTTTTATGGGCTAGCGTTCTATCCTCATTTCCCTATCGAGCAGATGCCCTTCGCTCTGCGCACTGTTCAAGTGCACGCCTAGCGCGCTGCATGCTATGATGCCCTTTTAAACGGAGAAGCGGCAGAGAAAGTAAAAGTCTATTCTTATCGGTAGGCATTCGTACTGTGCGTACGGTTGCCTTACTAGGTATGGGCTTGCGGCTTTGCTTGCCGGCGCAAGGCTGAGCAGTACACGTGTGTATCTATGCCGTCCTTTGGCTTGTGCTACCTCGGTCGTAAACATGGATTGACTTTCGTCACCATGCGCCGTTTATTTGGGTGCAGTACCAGCAGGACCTCTTCCGAGCAGCGGCTTGTCTTTGTTTTTCTTTTCTCTGTTGCCCTTTTTTATAAATAATAATTACCTACCGAAATACTTTCGCTTTCCCTTGCCACTCTCATAAGGTGAATGACCGGGCAGAGGGAGCTGTCCTCTCGATTAGGGAATTTCTAATAATTACAATGTCGCGTTCGCAACAACTGCAATGGCTGAATCCGGACATATTTTCTTCACATGTTTGTTGCCGCAATCACACCTCAGGTTGGTGTAGTTGTGTTGCACTGTATGGTATGCCATTGCCGCTTCAGCTGCTAATACCATAGAGGTAACTCTAAGACCAGAAGGTCCCGAAGAAACGTGCTCAATTTTTTGGCTCAGCTCTGGTACTCCCTTCGGCCCCAAGCTAATCGATGCACCCCTCAAAAAGAGGAAAATCCACGAGCCCCTCAATTTGTCTATCAAACTTTCATAGCGAATCAAAACAAACATATTGTAGTACTAGAATTTCTACTACTGTGTTACCTGACTTATAACGAATATACGTTTTATACGACTACCCCGAATACAACGTATAGTTCGTCTAATTTTACATTACAACGGTCAGACTACAGAGTTATAACATGTTATAGCGCTATCTTGATGGTGGTTTCTGTGTTGCAATTATTTGACAACCGTTATAACATGTTATAACTCTCCAGTCTGGACAGCGTTTAAGAGTAAGGTAAAAATGTCAACGGACGAAAAATGAGGACAGACTTTATTCCAGACACATGTAAGCGGCCCTTTTGACATAAGAATCAGTTGAAAAGGACAAGAAAATCAATTCAATCAAACGCACTTTTCGTCGAGTTGCATATGTTTCAGTTTCAGAACACTGTTTGTTTACGTTCCATGATTTACGTCAAAGCTGAATTATGTCTCGTGTAAAAATAGTAATTTCTATGTGTGTAAGAATAGGTCTAAATTTAACCAATTATTTTTAATAATAATATGATAACGGTTGAAAATCTCCTTAACAAAGATAAACAACGATTGTAAACCGTTTTAAAAATCGCCAGCAGAACAAAATCAATGGCTCCTCAATAAAAAAAACTTCAGTTTTGTAAGGGCCACAATCCAGCATCTTGCTGCGCCGCCGGCAGCTTTGATTTCAGGCTACCTCTCCCTTATCTGGCAATTATGTAGGTAAGCACCATGTATATACAAACAAACGCCCGGCTCAAGAATAGGCACACGCCAGGCATCGAAAAACATATGATTGCCATCCGCTCCCTGTGCCCCCTAGCTTGTTGCCAAAAAGTGCATTAAACCAATCCCGATCCGGTTGCCGCCACCACGTGGTGCATGCTACACGACTAGCAGCTTTACTGGCCCTTAATGAAGGGTGAAAATCCCACCTTACCCTTCCCGCTTCCCCAGCTCTGAAAGCAACAAGAGCTTGCGGTGATGATGTTTTATCGCACTGATGATTTCTGACATGTAGCATGCTTTTACAGGAAGGGACGGAGGGAGGTCCTGATGTGATGATACATCGGTGTGATGCACTGCTTCGGAAATAGCCTGTTCCACAAATGTCAGAAATAGGTTGGTTGAACCTCATCCTTACTAGCTGCGGTTTCTGTGAAGTGCCACGTAACCGGGGCGACATCCTGTGACGTGCGAGCTGATGCACATGTGGCGATTTAACACGCGCACCTCGCTGAGGGTGGCACGGGGTCGGAGAGAGAGGGTAGCAAATAGTGCGTACACACAGCTTCTCCCCCTCCATCTAAAAGCGATCCGTGTTGATCTTTATCAATTCATTTAAAAACTATTATGTGTTTTTTTTTCCTTTTCGGCACATTGATGGTCCGGGTCGGGTTGCTGCGGAATGTCGTGAGATTTTTTGCACTTGTTACAGCAGCCAATCAGCCCAGCGAGGATCAATTAGAGTTGCTTCCCGTTGTTACCATCCTCTGTCGCACCCCGCAGGACGATGTTTATGTTCTTCTATTCGAAAGAGGAGGAGGAGGAGGGTGCGACCTGTTTGCCAAAAAGTCGACGTCTATTAGGGAGAAACTATAAAATATCCTGACGAATCCTGCAGGAACTTCAGATCGGTTCTGATCGGGCAAGTGGATGGTTTCAGTAGCGATGTATCCGGCCGCAACGTCATCGCAATCGATGCTGCTTCCTAGGAGCAGTTTAGGGCCACCGATAGTTCCTTTTGCTCCCAAGTGTGAACTGGAACTGAGTTTAAATTTTTCCTCACCGGAAGAAAGTGAAACAGCTGCAGCTGCAGCCAGTGTTTGTGCCTTGAGTTACCTTCCGGTTGATTCGGTGTCGAAAGCCTATGCCGTGGAAGAAATTTGCCAAAAGACAGCTCTGCCCAGTGGAAGAAGGATTATGATTAGGAAATCCAGCTCGACTGGACTGCTGACTCCAAACGAAGCGGACAGTGTGATGAAGAGCTGCAATTGGATTCGGTCGATTAAGCTGGCTAGTGATGTGAGAAGTTACAATGCAGTTCTGGAGTTGAATGCGAACCAGTTGATCAGGCTTCGGCTGATCAAGGACGTGAACGGAGAAGAGGAGCTGAAGCTGTGGTTCTCCGAGGATGTCGGCGCACATATGCAAATTCCCTTCCTGACGCCAGTGAATATTCAGCGTAAGTTAATTTACTTAGTGAAAGTTGGCACGCTAATACTGAATGGCGTTGAACGCTTGGAATGTTTTCAAATTTCTCATGGAAGCGTTGTTCGAAAGACATTTGAAGCTTTTTGAGACGCATGTTTTGTTATAAAATCATCGTCTGTACCTCTTTTTATAAAGAAGTTATACTTTCGAGTTGGGAGGAAATGCAATGCTAATATCTACATGAAGGCTTTAGTGCGATTATTTATTAGCTCAACCATTCCATGATTGAGATATGTGGTTCTCGGAATTTCGTAAAATTGGTAGTTTTGTACCTTATCGTTAAATATTAGACCAGTATTTTTTATTTTTATTTTTTCAATAGGGTTAACTATGTTAAGGTGGTCCAAAAAATCAGTTTTTTTCAAAAATGACTTTTTTCATAAAATTAAAAATCAAAATTTCAAATGAAAGGTAATGGCTACATAATAAATCTAATCTAATCTAATTTAACACCAACACAGCCAGTTCTTGAAAGCATCCTGGAAAATGATGGATGTACCTCAATCATTTTTCTTATCTATTTGATAAATGTTTCACATCCAAGATGCGTCACACATATCAAAACGGCCAGGCCTACTGTGCAGCATTTAAGGGGCAAGATGATTCAGAAAACATCGGGTCTGTTTAAATCGAAGATTTAAACACGATGCTCCAGAATCCAATAAATGGATGAAACGTGGACATCTCGTACCGTACGTCCCGATTTTGGTAATTATATGATTGGTTGGTTGTTCTTGTCCTAGCCTTTTATGGCTTATGGCTATAGCGCCATTACTCGCTTTCTGAAAAGAGAAAAGGGAAAGGAAAAGGAGAAGGACAAAGGAAAAAGGATTATGTAAACTCTATGAACATAAACAATAATATTAAAATGCATAACGGCGGTGGTCACTACACGAGTCTTGTCACTATTATCAAGTCTTAAAAAGTAACAAGGACTAAAATGTGATCCTTTGACTACTGGAAAATCCTGATTCCCTTGTTTGAAGTTGTCACGACTAGGGTTCTGTGGTAGATCTTATACCTGTAACGCACCACAAAAAGGTGATCTCCCAACGTAACTGGTTTGAAAAAATAAAAAATTAAAAATTGGAACGAACTCACCAAGTTTAGAAGGCTGCCTGATATGTGTTGATGTAGAAGTCCAAATTGTAGACGAAGCTTGACGAAGATCATTATGAACTAGTCCGGTTTATGATAGTTGCGTGGAATGTCTTCCGTCGATTTGAGATAAACAAATGTTCGGATGTATGTAGTCGATTTTTGATATGCATTGGCAAGCCTTTTCGTGGCCAATAGTCAGGTTCAACGCTGCGACTCAACGAATGATGGAACTAATGATGGGACGAATTATGGGACGAATTATGGGACGAATTATGGGACGATCTATGGGACGAATTATGGGATGAATTGTGGGACGCCTTGTGGAAGTTCTACTTGGATTCGGAACAGCTTCTCAGCGGTAAATAATAGGGACTGAGGAACTAGAAATTGTCTACTGGGCCTGGTTTTGGCCAGATCAGCAACGGATTATAGATAAAAATAAACTCCACGGAAAAAACAATCGTAAGGTTCCAGGTAATGGCTACATGATAAATCTGGAAAAATTTGCATCACTCATTTCTTTGTGATTTTCTGCCTTCGTAAAATTGTTCGAGGAAGGCATTTTTCAGATTATAGTTTAAATGGATTGCTGATTTCTTTATCACTTCACTATAAAACATTTAATCTACGATGGTTCATGAGCTATCAAAGTACGTGCTGTCCGGGAAAATTTGCAAACCTACTAAGTTTTTCCGGGAAAAAATATCCACCACAAATTTTTTGAATCTTTGTTTCGTTCATATGATCATAAACTCTACCTGCGGGTGAAATGTTATAGCATTCTGAGAACCTTTGCCCGATACTAAAGAAAATTCTCCATCCATGAATCTGATACTTCTTCAAAAACACCTGAAACTGTGGTATAAAATGAATTTGAAGTCATCACATTTGTTGGGTAATTCCCCGTTTTGCACTACGTGCGCACCCGCGAATAGCTAGTTCGGATCATGTAGTTTAAAAACTGTGTAACAACGGTGTGATACGATCACTAATTAATAATTTTATTCTATACACTACTAAACGCATTTTTTATTCTAAGTGGACTGTATTTATTCAACGCGATCGAACTGAATCGATACCGGTACCGGTGGTGGTCGGGAGCTAACTGGCTATTCTCCTATCTTTATTTACAAGTGATGCTGCGAGAGCACATCACTGATAGTCTATCGTGCCTATTTCTCGTGTATGTAGGTAGAGTATGATCTGCATACATGCAGACGATCGTGGTCACTCATTTCTCCTGGATTCCCTAATCTACAGTGATGCACACAATTATGTTTCCTAGTTTCCCTAACAACATTAACATAGAACCGGTCCTCCGGACGATCTGCATCATCCGTAAGAGTGCTCATTCCATGAAACTGATACTAGAGATTCGTGTTTATAAAACAGCAAAAAAGGTTATGTTCCATTTAATTTCGTATTTACGTATTTCGACTACAATGTGCAGTCTTCATCAGTGTCATTCCCACTAAAGAACTATTCAAAATCTAACCCCCTTAAGTACTCATCCCCTAGGTATAAAAGTCAAGATCACAGGTATAAAAATGAAACTACAATGTGTTGAATCGGAACCTACCTAACTAATTAAAACCAAAGATTTAAGTAAACTAAAGGAGAAAAATCTATTCAACTCTCTAATAATGATACCAAAATAATTAAGTGGAATTAAATGTTTTATTTAAGCATTCTGCTAACAACCCAATTTCATTACTTCAACACGATTCGTGTTTATTTAAATACTTGTAACTGAGATATAAGAATAAATTTTGGGTCGTGACATAAACATGGTCCCGCAAATTTCGGAAATCAAAAAAAAAATTTTTGATGCCGAACGTCTTAAAATGCATGAAACGTCGAGATTTGGTGCCATCTCGAAAAAATTTTTTTTTTCAAAAATCGACTTTCTGGGATTTAGAATTTTTTCATGAGTGCTATATGGAATATAGAAAATTGATGAGTCGGCTTCTAAAACTGTTCACAATTGTCTCCAACCTGCTTATATATCGAATTAAACCACCATTTAGGATCTAATACGAAATAATTCACTAGGGTGGTCCAATTATTCTTCATTAGGGTGGTCCAAAAATCAAAATAGGTTTGTAAAAACCATTACTTTTTACCAAACGCATGTATCTGAAAATATCATCATGTTTTGTTTTGGAATTTTTAAGAATCCAAACTTCAAAACATTTGATGATATTACTTTTTAGTATCTGAGACCACGTAAAATAGAAGCATAGACAGACATAAATCGTATAATAATTCCGAAAATTGTACAGGACAACCGTTAGAAAGTCGATTTTTGAAAAAAAAAATTTCGAGATAACACCAAATCTCGACGTTTCATGCATTTTTAAGACATTTGGCATCAAAAAAAAAATTTTTGATTCCCCCTTGGGAGATTTTTGAGAGTGAAAAAAGTCAAACTTTGACGCGTTTGCGCCACCCTAAATCATGTCCGATTGAGCTCAAATTTTGCATAGGGTCATTTTTCGAGGCAATAAACATTTTGTATATGATTTGTTAGCGAAATTTGATGGTCAAATTTTTCCCATACATTCATTGGCAGTCTAGTGTCCATGATTATGCCACGACCACAAATTCGTTTTCATATCACAGTAGGTCCTTATGTTTAAAAAAAAAACTGTGGAGCTCTAGAAACAGATTCATGGCTTGATCAGTTTTACGGATGTTCCGGATCTTCCAGGGACGATCCCTTAGCCATCCGGGTCCATTTATATGTCACGACCCCAAATTCGTCCTTATGTCACAGTTCTAGGATTAGTTTCATGGATTGATCACTTTAACAGATGTTCCGGATCTTTCGGAGGTCGGTTCCATGGTTATCCAGGTCCATGTTTATGTCACGACCCCAAATTCTGTCTTACATCACAGTTCCTAACGATTAAAAAAACTGCGGAGCTTTAGGATCAGTTCCATGAATTGACCATTTGTATGGACGTTACAGTTCTTCCGAAGGACGGTTCCATGGTCATACAGTGACATGTTGATGTCACGACCAGGCATGGAAAATCATTTGCATTCATTTCGTGCATTCATTTCGTGCATTCATTTCGTGCATTCATTTACATTCAACAACTTTTCTCATCAACAGAATTCCGCAAAATGATGTATGAAGCTTTTGTAGGTTTTGTTATAAGCTACAACTTTTGCGAGAAATCCGTATCTCTTATGCATGACGAACCAGAGCGAATAGAAGCCACTACTGTTTTTCAGTGAATGTATTTTACATTCACTGAAAAGCAGTAATAAGTTCTGCTCGCTCTAATTCGTGATTCATAATAGATACAGATTTGAGTTACAGGCAAAAGTTGTAGTTAATAACAAAACCTACAAAAGTTCCATACATCGTTTTGCGAAATACTACCGATATTTGTGTTTCATTGGACAGAAATAAAATGGATGGGCAAAAATCTAGATGAGGAAAGATGATTGTACTGGTAATAGTAAAATCGTTTTTCAATCGACATAAAATTCCATACTTCTTGGCAATTTTCTTGATGACATTGTCAATGTGAGAGTTGAGCTTAAGTTTGCCATCAATAATCACGCAAAGATATTTAATCTCCCGAACGCGATCAATAGTCTAATCATCAATTACAACAGAGGCGTTCTCATTTACTCGATCCCGCGAAATTACCATAAATTTTGGTTTACTGGTATTGAATTTCAACTGTTTATACTTCAACCACATACTTAGAGAACGCAAATCTTCATTCAAGTGTAAAACGGCATCATCTAAATCCTTAGCTTCAATGAATAACACAGTATCATCTGCAAAAGGATTAATGTCGCAAAATCGTAAAACACGTTGCAAGTCATTAATGTACATAATAAATAACAGGGGCCCTAATACACTTTCTTGGGGCACTCCAAGGTTATTCCCCACGGGACTGGAAACATAATAATTAAAAACAGTCCGTTGAGTTCTGTCAGACAAATAGCTTTCAAACCATTTATATGCAGTACTCGTAATTCCAAAGCGCTTGATTGTACTTAACAGTAAGGGCCTAGAAATTGTTTCAAAAGCGCGTTTCAGAACCAAAAAAACAGCAACAATCGTATCTTTACGCTCCAAGTTGTCTTTCCACTTTGTTAACACCAAATTCAATGCAGTTTCACAAGAATCACCTTCCCGATATCCTGATTGTTCTGGTATCAACAAAGAGTTGCTATTTAAATACTCCAACAGCTGGCCTTTAACAACAAGTTCAAACATTTTCTATAATGTGTGCAATGTGTTGATGGGACGAAACTTTTCGGCTTTAATCGTTCCAGCAACTTTTTGAATAGGGACCACTAAGGATTCCTTCCAAATTTGTGGCACATGTCCAGTTTGTAATGATTCATTAATAAGGCCCAGCAAGATGTGGCCAATGACATGAATGCAATCTTGAATAACTCTAGCATTAACATTATCTACTCCAGCCGATTTTCCTTATTAAAAGCAAATAACTCTAAGTTCATCTAATGTAATTGGGTGAAAACCTTCAAACCTACAACTGGCTGCTTTATTTCGTCAGGTTCATCGACCATTTCAATGGATTGATTAATCAATGAAACACTGTCTACAAAATAGTCATTACACTGAGATGCAATTACTTGTTCTGACTGTTCTAATGTGCCATTAAAAGTTACGGACCGCGGTTTGCAATTACTAGGTTTTAATAAAGATTTCAAATTTTTCCATAACTCTTTGCTGTTGTTATATGCGGATCAATCTTCCTTTGTACATATTCACAACGAGTTTTCTTTATCGATTGTGACTACACTAATATCCGTTACTGAACAAATGGAATCAAAATTGGAATAAACGTGGTCAATTAAAGTTCTACTGTGCCTGGAAATACGCGTATATTCATTTACCGATTGCTTTAAATTAAAAAACTCATCTAAACGCTTCAAATGATTCGAATTATGGTTATCATGCCAATTAATATTAAAATCACCAGCAAATATAGTTAATTTACTAGAATCAAGGAATGTCTCGAGCCAATTCTCTTAAACTTCAACAAAACGCTGGCCACTAGAACTGGGAGAATGATACAAAACACCATAATTACCCATCTTCATGCAACGTACAACTGTAATGCCCAGGAACCAGTTGCCATGAATAACTTCGTTGGTACGTAGGTTGAATTGAACTGATTCTTTGACATAAATAGCAACACCGCCAGTGTGTCTAGAATGTGATAAGCAAGCAGCAACAATATATCCCGGAATACTATACTGATCAAAAGCTTTCCTTTTTCCTCAACAATCTGACGTAATGCTGCGTAGTTTGTTGACAACCCCGCAATATTCAAATACATAAATCGAATTGATTCACATTCCTGGAACTTGGCTGCTATTTATTGAAACGCAATCTGCTTTTCTTCTGATCAAAAAGTCTATTATAGAGCAAACTTTCCGAGCTAAATGCGGCATGGTTGACGTCCAAGTTCATTTTTCATTCTTTATTCATTTCGGAGTGTTATAGAGCATTCTTTCAACGTGTTGACTAGAAAGCTGCACTAAGTTTGACAATCGTGTTCACTGCTCGCATGTACATCTATGTCATGTTCAAGGTTTATTCCCGTACTTCCTTATTATGCTTTTAGCAAAAATTCTGTAAAAAATATCAGATAGGGAAAATGTTGGCTTCGGCAATACCTTAACCTATTATCGTCAACTGGTAAACAATGTCCTGGAGCACTCAAATTTGGCCAAAATATGCTCTGAAACACAATGTATCCAAATGCCAAAATTGAACTCTCAAGGATGTTGTTTACCCCCTGACGATAATACAATAAGGTATTGCCGAAGCCGTCATTTACCCTATATCCAATAGAGAAGATAGTAGGTGATTTTGATTTTGATCTCACAGAAAAACCAGTACGGAAACAGATCTATTGCTTACTAATAGATTTTTTTTTAGGATTCCGAAAAGATTTAATCCAAAAGGATATCATCACTCTTAGATATAAGATTTTTTTATTACTGTTACTAAACGATTAAATGAAATTTGAACAACCCTCTGTTCTTCATAGTTAAGCTTTGCACATCGCTTTATTATTGTTGAATTAAGTAATGTTTAAGCATTGAGTGATCAGTCAGTTCACAGTGGGACAACTCATAGGAAAAACTGGACAACATTCTGAAATACCTAGAAAATGACCAACAAGGGTTCGATCAATTTCAAAACTAAGAACCAGTTTGTCAAATTGTAAAGTTTATACAAAATTGAAATTGATATCGAAAGTGTACCAAAAGTGCTTCTGAACGTGTTTCGCAGTTAGATGGTGAAATTCGCGGTTGTTTTCAGTGAAAATTCCGTATCACAAATTTTCTCACCGAGTTCCCTTTTTTTGCCGTTTGACGACATCGGGAATGCGCTCCCGGATATATTGATTTGGTGAGTACGTTCCAGTTGAGGATTGTTCTTGTACATTCCTCGATTGCATTTTCGAGGGGACGTATCTGCTTTTGTGGGCAGTGCGTTTGATGGTCGGTTTGGTAGTATCCTTTTAAATATAATATCTCATGTCCAAATAACCTCGATTTTCGGTCTATTGTTTCAATACTTCAGTATTATATTTTCAAAACATACAATTATGCATTATGTCATTTCATGGCACATAAAACAAAAAGTGTGTGTATAGGACCCAATAATCTAGGTTATTTGTATTTTGTAAAACATCTTTATTTTTTATTATATTTTTCATTCTACTACATACTTTATATACATTATATATTACATGATTATATATAAATTCATCATGAAAATTACAATAAATACTGGGAGGGGAGGGAGCATCAGGGCATCATTGAAGTTATAACTGGACAATGGAGTGGAGTGCCAACCGGAGTCTAGGAGGGAATGTGTACTGTCATTTTAGATAGTTACATTTCACTCCAACAGTTGCAATGAATTTGACGCGCTCTTCTTTAACAAACCATCCCGTGGAAAGCTTAACATGTATTGCGAATTTCGTTATTCATTTTGTTGGATCATATTGTTGGAAGGAGATTCTCTTATTCCCGCGGGTTTCGCGTAAGTGCCTCTGCTTACGGGCCCGTCCAACCCTTTTTGGCCCTTCATACAGCAGTATGTTGAATTCAGAATGATGACGGAATTTGATCTTGCTGTTGAGTGGAGCCGCATGCAGGGCAAGACCCAAGCTAGGATGGTGGCTACTTACATATTTGGTGGAATTTTAATTAGTAAGAAGGATTGGATTGCAACCATAGGTTGATTACTTCAGCTAATTTATTTTATTTTATTTTTTCATCCTTCCAGGTCAAAACTGCTACGTGTGCCATATCTGCGGAAAATCCTACGAATACCCGAACCCGCTTAAAATTCACATAGCCACAGACTGCAGCCAGCAGTCGATGACCGTCCTGTGGCAGCGTCTCCTTCACAGCATCTCCCGCTACAACTTCGCAACCGGTTGTGAATTTCAACCGTGGCGAAGCTCGGCCTTCCGTCCGGTACTCAACACCCACGCTATGAAAGTGGAACTATCCCCGCCTCATCCTCCACCGCCCCCGCCGCAGAACAAATCACCCCTTTTGGAGCAACCTTCACTGCACCATCACCACCACCACCATCACCACCCGCACAGTCCACTGGTCGACGATTCCACCATGGTGACGGCTGCGCATCTAGAAACGATCGTCAGCAACATGGGCTCCTCGAAGCAAGGTCACATCTGCATCTACTGCGGGAAACTGTATTCCCGCAAGTATGGATTGAAGATACACATCCGAACGCACACGGGGTTCAAACCGCTCAAGTGTCAGTACTGCTTAAGGCCTTTCGGTGATCCGAGCAATTTGAACAAGCACATTCGATTACACCGGCAGCACGATAGCTCACTGTATGAGTGTAATTTGTGCGGAAAAAAACTGGCCAGGCGGAGGGATTTGCAAAGACATCTTCAGTCCCGACACAACAGCAATCAGGTGATTGAGAGTTCGACTTCCGAGGAGGAGGAAGAAGTTACATGACTTTGGTATACCAATGGTTATCAATGATACCTAATCTAAGCTACTTCAAATACAAACAGTGCCAAATGAGTTAGTTTTAAGTATTTTTAAATTGTTGAAATACATACGAATGAATATTTAAGCTACGCTTATTAAATATCCGAAAATATCTGCTGTGATGTGTTTCAACATACTGATGAAACACAATCACCACTTAAAAACTACACCCTACTAAAAAAAACTCGAGAGTTTTCAATTGTAAGTTCGTAGCAATTTCCTGCTCAATATTTAGTTATAAACATTACAAGTCCTCCATCGCTAAAATGATGTTCTGAAGAGCGGTTCGAGCGTCCGATGGTGGCAACTCATTTAGCACCGCCATGGCCGCGAGGCTATGCTTCTTCTGCAGGTTGCACGTCTTTTCCAGACCAGGTCCCTTGATCACTTCGCTGTGAATCTTGACGTAGTCGATGTTGTCGACTGATTCTCGTCCCATTTTGATGATTTCCTCGTACAACGTTGGATCATGTTCTAGGTGAAACATTACCGGTGCGGAGATGAGACTGAAGCGAACTCCTGGAATGATAAAAAACTAATGTTTGAAAATTCCCTACAAATGCCATCACATTGACATCAAGTACCTGGCGAGAGGTTGGGACTGCTGAACGGCTCCATATCGATGCAAGCCTGCCAGGCCAGTGATAGGTGCTTTCCGAACAGGTAAGCCTGCTTTTGCAATTTTACCGGTTGGCCCGCTAGAATCAACGCTCCCTGGCAACTTTTGCCCAGCAGACTTCCAGCAGAGAGGATATGCCTCAACGACCACTCCCGCTCGGGATTCCCCAGCACGTTCTCGATGTTCAACGACTGTATATTATCTTCCACATCTTCAAATCCTAAATCATCATTGTTTGACTGCCCTGCCGAACTGGTCGACCCCAGTTTCGGGTTCGACGGCAGTGGGTTGTTCTGCATATCCCGATCGCCGATGAAGTTCGATTCAGCCAAATCTCTCACTGAGGATGACATCAGCTCAATCAACTCCTGGTTATTGAGATCCGACAGCTTCGCAACAGAACTCCCCAGCAGATAATCTCCGCTGAGCAGAGCAATCTTGTTGCCGAAAATCATCTCGCTATCGCTGCTGAGTTCATTGCCGGAGTTTGCCAGTGGCTGTAGATTGACCAGTCCCTGATGAACGAGGGACGCGGTGCGAATCATTTCGGTAACCTCAGCCAGAGCACGCTGCGAGTGCAGCACGCCGGCACTTTTGTCCTGTTCCATATCCGGAATGGACGGGGCATGTCCAACGGCTTTCGAGATGAGCAGCACAATGAGGCCCCACGCTTGCATGTTGTTTTTGCCATTGTAGATCAGGATTCTGGAATGAGGAATTGTTTATAATTCATGGATGACGTAGTTTTTGGGATATTCATATTGGCGTTTTCGGAAGGGCTTTCCTATGACAAACTTGAAACTATGCTGAATAATAGTGGGAGCGTGCAATTGGTGCCAAGTGACATTTACCAATCGACTCAGCTCTATTAGATAGGAACATGTATGTTTGTATGCGAGTATGTGACGAATTAAAGTGCGGCACGTTTCTCAGCAACCCCTGCACCCAATTGGATGCAACAACCGCCAAATGGAAAGTTCCAGGCCATGAAACTAGATTTGTCATGAAACTTACCAAACCCATCATGCGATGTGAAGTCATCATATGAAACTGAAAAAAATAGATCAATAGCAACTACTTTGGTCAAAACCGGTCATGATCCAGGTATCTCTAACTCCTGATGAAGTGGACAGAATCTGACTTGAAACCCATGATGTGGTATATCAAATCACATAAAAATTCAGAACTAAGATCATTGACAGCCACATTGAGTACTCAGGTCCACTATGGCCGCACCTGGATATGTTCCGGGAGCTCCCTAAGAAGTGACCAGATTCTAATTTGGGCCAAAACCTATAGAGTTATATAAAATCACGACGCGCAAAATCGATGGAAGTCGTAAAGAGTGCTTTGGTCCACATTGTCAACCACCGGAACGATCGAAAGTCGGAATCGCTAAGCCATAGTAAACAAAAAGCCAGCTAAAACTATTCAACCCGACTTCAAACTGTTCAAACCAAAACACGATATCTCTCACACAAAGCTACAGATAATTTCGTAACTTTGTCTTCATATCACAACCGATACTTTGTGGGATGTAGATGCAACGATGCTGATCATTAGCGGTTGCCCTGATTACTTCTCGGACAAGCATAAGGATGTGCACTGCTGGGGAATCCAAACTCGGTTTTGGGAAATCTATGGCAGGTATATTGGCTGAAAATTCGCCGTTGCGATTACTTGAATCCGAAAGTTGGAATGTGTCAACAAAAATTAATTAAAATTTGAGACAAGCACTGCGCAGACGCAGAGATAATACAGTGTTGCCAGTAACATCAAAGATCATAAAAATGACTAACCATGGGTGCCAAAATGTGCCAATGAGTGTTCCAAACTGAATGTTTGGCACCTTGGATCGACCTGAAAAATCTGAAATATATTGCCTCATTTTCTTAAAATCTCGAACGCCCCAAAACTGCTCGACTATATGATTAATTGTCCACCTCTGAAAGTAACGCTCGCAAATTTGCGAATTGAGGGAACCGAATGTTTTATGCGAAACTCTTGTGTCGCTCGAACTATCAATCAAAAAATAAATAGGATAAACCAACGAATCACAAATCTATTTTTATACGATTTGCATTTCTACGATGTGCATTACACGGCCGATGAGAGTAGCTCGGTAACTGAGTCGAATTCAACTCAAAATTTCCGAAAGTAGGCATACTCAGTGAGTGAGTAAAATTTCCCTCACTTTTCCGGGTAAAATTTATTGAATTTGAGTACATTCTAGACTGAGTGAAATTACTTTCGAGTCTCCTCATGTTCAAGAAATTTTCCTTAGAAAAGCAACGTAAAATATTCACTGAGTAACCCCACTGCAAATGATGAGTCAAATTCGACTCAATTTTGAGTTACTCTCATTAGCAACAGCAAAGATGAACTTACTTGGCCGTTTTCAACAACGGATGATTACTGCCGACGAGCTTCCTCAGGTGCAGTGCCACATTGGCAATCTCGTCGCTCAGCAGCCAGCGCAGACTCAGAAAAGACGTCGGATAGCCGACGATCTTTTCCGCTTCGCTCACGGCCCGATTCCAGTTGTGCTGCTTTTGGACGGGTTTGGCCGTTGCTGGTTGGTCGCAAACCGACGAGGTGAAACTAACTGTGCGCAGATTGACCTCTGAGGGACGATGGCCGGTCGCTGATCCCAACACGGCACTGCTGATTTTACTGACCATCCGCAGATGGGACTGCGGGATGCAGATGCGACTCAGGGACATTTTTCCCGGTTTCTGAAATCGGAGCGTTTCCTAAAATGCCAAAATGTTGTATGTGGGAAGCGAGTTAAATTTAACGATTCACTGGGTTCGCTCACTGCAGATGACTGTCTGGTACTAAGGAAGGTTCATCGTGCGAGTGCTCTGGCGTCGTTACCACGTAGTTCTTTCTAAGTATGCGCTCGAGTATTGGTGATCCGAAAGTGAAGATAACAATAAACTATCAAACACTTTTACCAAAGTGAGGATAACAAACTCTACATTTGAAATAGCGATTACTTAAATGCACTTACTTATTTATTTCAATTAGCACTATTAATTATGGCTTAAATGTCTAAAACATACTACAGAGCCGTGGGTACTATTAGAAACGTCATAGAGCTCAATACCGTTCCTGACGCCGCCCGTTCAATCTAGCTGGCTAAAGGTCGATTAAATGTGCGCACTAGAACCAACCGGTGGAAACTAACAATTTTAAATTGGCTCGCTACTTGACTAGCCTATTGGTCCCAAGTACATCTATAGGCGTACCTCATTCTAGTCGAAATTCTAGTACTACACTATGTTTGTTTTGATTCGCTATGAAAGTTTGACAGATAAAATGAGGAGTTCGTGGATTTTCCTATGTTTCGAGGGGTGCATCGATTAGCTTGGGACCGAAGATAGTACCAGAGCTGAGCCAAAAAGTTGAGCACATTTCTTCGGGACCTACTAGCATAGAGGTAACTCTGAGACCAGAATGTCCCGAAGAAACATGTTCAACTTTTTGGCTCAGCTCTGATACTATCTTCGGTCCCAAGCTAATCGATGCACCCCTCGAAACATAGGAAAATCGTTCATTAAATATACGTCAAGGCAGATTTCAAGCAGCTCCCAGGTCAAGAATTTACACGGCTATCGAAAAAGGAAAGGTTTGAGATAAGCTTAAGCAGAAAAAAGTTGTCAAAGTTGTATGTATGCAGCTCCACTTAATAGCAAGATCAATTTGAGCTACCGATCTGATCGCTGTATGAAGGGCCAAAACGGAAGGGTGAACCCGTAAGCAGAGGCAGTTACGCGATATTCACGGGAATTTAAGAATCTCCTTCCAACGATACGATCCAACAAATCGAATAACACAATTCGCAATACTTATTAAGCTTCCTACAGGATGGTTTGAAAAGAAGGGTGCGTCAATCTCGCTGAAACTGTTGAAGTAGAATTCACACCACCACAATCTAATCGGCAAGGATAAAGAAAATGATAGTGCCCAACAAACAATTTTAGCTGCAAATTAGCTTATACAGCCAAAATTTGCCTTATGCAGCTAATTTTTGCCTGTATAAGCTAAACTGCAGCTAAAATTGTTTGTTGGGTGTTTATTCCCTCCTAGACTCCGGTTGTCATACCATTCCAATCGTCCAGTTGCAGATCAAATGATACCCTGATGCTCCCTCCCAACCCAGTATTTATTTATATATAGTAAATATATGTAATGGAAAAATTAAATATATCAGAACATTAAAATACGTAATAATGAAAACACATTTATATGGATAGAAAAACTGGTATTCTGTAAAGAAAATAATAATTATTTTGCATACAATATAATGCAACTGTATGTTTCCTCAGCTCCCAATATAAGG